AATATGTGCCATCAGTGTCTTCCCTACCAGAATGCAAATGTGATAAACAGGCATTTTTCCTGCCGACCCTGCTTTCTGGGAACAGAACTCCTGGAGTTTGCTACAGGAAATTGGAGATCTATGAAGGAAATTAGTCAAAGGTGAAATAATCTATATAAAGCCAGAACAAGAGAACTGGATTATTTATAGGGTTCTGCAAGATACATTTTCATAGGTACATTTCCCTACATTCAGATTTAGAAAGTAAATGTGTTTTTTTTTAAATGGGGCAGGGGGTGAAGATAAAGAGTTAAGAAAAAAATAGTTGCCATTTGGTTTATACAGTACCCGTAAAAGGATTTGATGAGTTTTTACAAGCAATCCACAGCCTAGACAACGTGGCTTCACTCAGCTCATCATGTAGTCGTCAACCCAGCATGTATTCAAATACAAGCTTCTTAGTAGTATGCAGCATAACACTGTAGAGCACAGCAACAGCATTGATAAAAATAGGGCCTTGTTTGGACATAGAATTCTTCAAGTTGTGGTTTAAAACACTGGATGGAACATCCCACATTTCTATGGATTGCTTTCCTGCAGTACTTGGAGAGAGAATAGTTGACACTCACTGTGAAGGGTCATTCTAAGGATGCAGATGAGCTATCTATCCCTATATAATCTATGGCTGCAAGTTTTGATGTTTTTTTAAAAAATCTGTCATGAAGAAGTAAGACAATTTTAAATTTGTAAATCTATTATTTCATGTAGCCATATTTTAACCCAAATCTTAATGTAAAAGCAACACTATATGGCCACCCCTCCACAGCAAATAAAGAAATTGTTATTTTTGTTTTACCTGAGATAAGACATCTCTGGACATTTCAGATTGGAATTTTAAAAGATTCCTAGAGAGAACATTTTAATCAAACCTGTGAATAATCAAATCTGCCAAAGTCAAAACTGCAAATGTGGAGGGATGACTGTATATCAAGGAGAGGGAAGTGGAGTCACTAGGAAAGTCCCACATGATTTCTGTTTCCCATTCTTAGCCAGGATGGTGAAAGAATTAACCCACACATTGCTGGATTGTTTTGCTGCATTTTATCAGAATGGGCTTTCATGGTGCATTTTAATAAAACATTTTTTTATTTGGGTAAAATAAATGAGACTGCCTCTGAATTTGGCAGACTCGGGTAAGTCAAGAACATAGGAGGAGCTGTCTCCTGATTAATGGAAGAAGATAAAGAGAGGGTATCTTAAGTCCTATCCTGAGAGCAATCTTACTTTGCCAGTCAGATTGGACTGATGCCAACTGCGGGGGGAAATCTCATTAAGGAGGTATTTATGCTTTCCTTCATTGATTTGTTTGAATGCATTGCATAGTCAACCAGAATATAAGCATTAATGTATTGAACTTGCTATTTAAAAGAAACAAAACTGTATCAGAAATCTAAGGCCCCTTCCACACAGCTGAATAAATCCCACATTATCTGCTTTGAACTGGGATATATGGGAATGTGGATATTCCAGTTCAAAGCAGATATTGTGAGTTATTCTGCCTTGATATTCTGGGTTATATGGCTATGTGGAAGGGCCCTAAGAATAATGTAACCAATGTTTTAACACTGAAAGAATAAAAGAACCAAGGGTATTTCAAAAGGAATGAAATCATACTTGATGGTATACTCTTAAATGTGATAGTGCCTTGCTGACATTCTCTTAGGTCCAGTTTACATCCATAACAGAATGAAGAGGCAGAGGTATGCGGTAGTACAATGTATTACTTCAAGTATGGAAATGAATGTTCTACAAGAAAATATGTATAGGAGCAATGGGAACACTGGGATAAAATCGCCACTCTCCAGTAATCTTTTGAGATTGCCCCCCCTACATTCAGAGATTTTTTTAAAAACAAAGATGGAAGTGCCACCCACTCTTGAGTAATATAAAAAGGTACATTACATGATCATATTGGAATTCCAGCACCTTGTACATGTTTGGTGCATAAGTAAAAGAGGCCTTCTGGGTATCTATTGCAATTGTGCAGTCATGCAATTGGCAGTTATTCTGCAAACAGAAAGGGTAAAAAGTAAAGGTTTTCCCTGACATTAAGTCCAGTTGTGTCCAACTCTGGGGGTTGGTCCTCATCTCCATTTCTAAGCCGAAGAGCCGGCGTTGTCCATAAACACCTCCAAGGTCATGTGGCTGGCATGACTGCATGGAACACCGTTACCTTCCCACCAGAGCGGTACCTACTCACATTTGCATGTTTTCGAACTGCTAGGTTGGCCGAAGCTGGGGCTAACAGCAGGAGCTCATGCCGCTCCCCGGATTCGAACTTGCAACCTTTTGATCAGCAAGTTCAGCAGCTCAGCGCTTTAACCCACTGTACTTCCAGGGACTCCAGAAAGGGTAGAAAGCAAATAATAGTTGGCATATTATGCATGTGGATTCTGGAAAGGTGAACAGGGCTGGGAGGGGGGGCTGTCATTTCTGTCTACATTTTTGTTCCTCCACCAAGATGACCATCAAGAGATCTTTGAAAACTTTTTCCAGTGCATTTTGTCAGTGGGATTTTGTTATTGTGGAAAAAAACCATGTCTGCTATATTGCTGGATGTCTGGAAACCATTCTGCCGAAGCAAGTGGGAGTAACTGTGTGAGGCTGACTGTATTATTTTTAACAGTCTGGTTATTAAAGGCCAGCTGGCACATCAAGAATTACAAACCACTTTCTAGCTCAACTGCCCTACTTTTCTTCATATTGGTACATATGTTACATATCCTGCTAAACTGCTTTTATTTTATTTTGCAGGGGATCAGAGAAGCTTACTGATATAAGTTAATCCATCACAAAGTGACTGAATGTTTTTAAAAATCTTTCCATGGTTATGCTGTATATTTTCCCTCTCTTCTTACCCCCTAGCAGAGGACAATAAACAGAAGCTGGTATTTATTCATACTATCAATATATACATTGCAGTGTCTTTGAATATAGAACATAACTCTCATTTAGCTGATTACAATATATGGTTTAAAGCCTGTCCTGCACCCATCATGAATAGTAAAAAAGGAAAATTATCATTTGCACTGTAGCAGCTGCTTATTTATTTATTTATTTATTTAGGGCACTTCTACCCCGCCCTTCTCAACCCCCTAGGGAGGACTCAGGGCGGCTTACAACCGGCACAATTCGATGCCAACAATTCAACAGATAAAATACATAACAGCAATAACCACAATAGTTAAAACATTCAATTAATACAATAACAACTAAAAAGCCAATCTAGTGGCCAACGTTCACCGAGTTCTCAAATCCATAAGTCCATTCAGCATTACCATAGTCCTTTCCAAATTCTGGTTGTCATTACCTTGTCAGTCTGCCAGATTACCCAAAGGCCTGGTCCCATATTCATGTTTTCAGCTTCCTTCCGAAGGAGAGGAGGGATGTTGATGACCTAATTTCCCTGGGGAGTGAGTTCCACAGGCGAGGGGCCACCACTGAGAAGGCCCTGTCCCTTGTCCCTACCACTTGTGATAGAGGCGGGGCCGAGAACAGGGCCTCCCCAAAAGATCTTAAACTCCGAGGTGGGACATAGAAGGAGATACGTTCAGACAGGTACATGTCTGAGCAGCAAAAGTAAAGTTTGGAAAAAGAAAAAGAAATGGTTACACAGTTAAAGAAACAGTTCTGTTTAATTTATTCCCCCATTTGCGCAGCACACTCAAATCTCTATCACAATATATATTCTTCCTTGTTAAAGGGCCTGATTACAGCCTTCCCTTCAGCAACCCACTGCTCAGTCAAGCAGGCCTCATCTCAGATCTGCTTTACATGCAGACCGGAAATGGCTTCCTCAGACTGGAAGTTGTTCTTACCTGGAAAACAATTGCCCATTCTACGCCTTTAGTGATTTCAGCTTGGACTGTGGTTAAGAAAGTCAGTGCCTGGTGAGCATCCACTAAATTAGATCAGCCAGGACAGAGAACAAAGCAGGTATGAAGACAAACTATAGAAGTTTATTACAATCTGGCCAGAAGGGATGCATGTACAGAGTCACTGCTCAAAAATGTACACGCACTTCATAGAAAAATACAAAACATTTTATACACTTTTGACAGCTATTCAGACTTCCCATACTTCTTCCTGATTGGCTGAGAAATGGCCTGGCTAGGATCCACAAGGGATTGGCTGTAGGTTTCCTTTTCATCATAGGAGGAGAGGATCTCCCCAATGGGAAGAAGAACAGCTGATGATTGGTTGGTTTAAAGGTCCAGTCCATTGCGGAGATGCTCCCGTGGAAACGGAAGAAGAAGATGTGGATATAAATATGATTCCTTGATTGATTTAAGCGTCCAGTTCTGGGAAGAAAAGGTACAAGACCCAGAAAACAAAAGGTGGTAGTCTTGGGTGACCAGAGGCTTGGCTGCCTTTCAGAAGGCTAATGTATTCATCTTTGTCTTAGCCTTATCTTCTGTGGAAACTATAAGCCTCCAGTCACATTTAAACAGGTAAACAGTATAAGCACATCCCTGGTGATAAAGGAATAATCTCTTTCATACATACACAAAGGAAATTTTCTTTTGAAGCTTGACAAATAGCTGGAGGTGCCTCTCTTAATAGTTCAGTCATTTCTGATCTCATAAGTTATGTAAATTGGGAGCATTGGGGGAACAGATTCCTTCACAGTACATTTGATGCAGTTTTATGCATTTTAGAATTGGTACAGTATACAATTAATACAAGTTACACAGGAAATATCATTTAGTACATTTATTAAAGAGTTTTAGTTTTAATATAGTTCAGGGTGCAGTTGCTGCTGGATCAGAGGCTTTGGTATCGCAGAATTTTGAAAAAGCAGAGAAGGTTTTAAAAATAAAGGAAAAATATGTCTTGCTTGAAGTTTCATTAATGTCCAAAAATAATTAGGGAGGGGGGGTGCTGTGACTCAACAACAAGCCAGATGGACCAGCAGTATGGTTTGGCATAAAGATTTATATTCATTATATGGACAAAGCCAGGATAGAATCAATAGACACCAAACTGGAAAGGATTAATTGATTAACAGGGAACATGATGTTTTCTCTTGAGACTTCCTTGCAGAGCTTGGAAAGCTTTTTTTCTTTTTCTTTTACTACAGCTCACAGTAATATTTTTAAATCCTTGGGTGTTCAGTGCCTATGTTTTTCAGCCCCCTTTTAATGGTGTTCAGTGCCTGTTTAGACTTGTTCAGTCTCTTTTTAAGGGTGTTCAGTGCCTGTTTAGACTTGTTCAGTCTCTTTTTGCATATTTTGTGCCTCTTTAAGGGTATTCAATGCCTGTTTAGAGTTGTTTAGTCCTCTTTTACAGGTGCTCAGTGCTTGTTTAGAGTTTTTAAGTACCTTTTTAGCATATGTAGTGATTCTTTGTACAGGAAAATCTTGATTTAAATGTCCCGTAATCCAATGACACTCCTCCAGAGCTAAGGTATGCAACTTCAAGCATAAGCACAAATGGAAACAAGAATTGCTGGCCCATCAGGAAGTTGGGAGGGAGAGGATTGGAATGTTTGTTGCCTTCAGCTGTAGGGCCAGATCCTGAGTTCAGCTCTCCAAAGGAACCTTTGGATTGCTTCCTCACCGTAGGCTCACTCAGCTAGGAGATCTAGGTGAAGAGCTTCCAGACTCTTAAGGGTGAGACAGTTTCAGTGTCACTGTGTCATGCTAGGAAGTCACACGTGCTTTCTTTATACTGTAAATTGAAAAATAGCATGCAAATAAAGAGATTTTTAAGGGCCAATATTTTAAACACATTTTATTGCTTTTTAAATGTATTTTTTTATCTAGTGTATACAAGCATTATAGAGAAAGGCAGGCATTCATAACAGACCCAAAGCTACTATCAGGAATGTAAGTAGACAAGCGTGTGTATGAAAAACTTTTTTCAAAACATTGTTAATTTGGGGATTTTACTATATCTATTGTCTGTATGTTGCTTCATTTCTTATTTAGTGTACTCAAGCATTATAGATAAGACTGGCATAACACCTGAAGAAGGTAGAGTGAAACAAGGGGAACAACCCAGGAGACCTTGTTGTGTTGCTGTCTCTGGCATTATGAGTTAATGAAGAATCTCCTTTAATATAGAAGTCGTTATTTTAAAAGCTGAAGTGTTGCTGTTCCTGGAGCTACAAGTTAATGAAGAATCTACTTTAATATAGAAGTTGTTATTTTGGAAGCTGATTTTTTTTACTACCACTGGTATTGGTCTCAAGACCTTTTGCAGCTCCATGACTTATTAGGACTGGTTGTTTCTATATGCTTTTGTTCATGTCTGTTACTTATTTCATGAATAGTACATCCTTAGTTGAATTATGAGAATTGTACTTCAACTACTGCGAATTTTGAAGTCTTTTTAACATAGTAATACAGCATGAAATAACCTATTCTGAGGCAGAATTTTGCGAGTCATGCACATACATTGTTGTTTTGTTGGTTGTTGCCATATATATCTGTGCATTACACACTGGCATCTAATGACTGCCAATTGTAAGTCATCCTGAGTCCCCCTTCGGGGGTTGAGAAGGACAAGATACAAATGCTCAAATAAATAAATAAATAAATAAATAAATAAATAAGCAAGCAGCTGATGAAATACAATGACAATGTAGTATACCAGCATATCCTTTGCTATCTTTCTTATTGATGCTTGGTGACTAGAAATGATTATAAAGATAGCTATAGCAAAGCCTATTCAGTTTTTTTTCGTCTGGTGTACAGTTTTGTTGCATCTGCTTTTAAAGTTTACAGCGGGTCTGAATAGGAGTGAATTACACTGAGAAGCACTGGGCTGGTAAGCATTAATTATAATGAATAAGAATGTCTCAGATTCAGTATGAATACAGCAAATAGGCAATTCCAAATGCAGTCAATGACACAAATATGATGGTATGCAGGGGTAAGGGAATACTTTACAAATATGAACATAACTCTCCTAGGAGAGGGGAGGAATTGGTGGTGGCGACAATGAGGGACAGAAGATAGAAAACATGCTGTCTCTTCCATCTTATCAATGGCATGGATTGTTATCTCTTGCCAGTTGCGTGAGGGATCAGTCATGCTTGCCATGCCTCTAATTAAGAATCCAGAGTCTGCCCATAAAACTCATGCAAGTCTTGTTCTGGTAGCATCGCCCCCCTCCCCCCAGATATATATATATGGATCTATATATATATGGATCTAATTTTGAAAAAGAATTAACCGGCTAGAAGGGAGAACTTGGGAGCCAAAAGACTACTGGACACAGACCTAATTTCTTTGTTTCTTATATGCTGAACTGTACAAATTTGGATGAGCTGAAATTATACCAAACATATAATTATCTAGCTACAACTAATGGGATTCGGGGGAGGGGCTTGAATCACTGGTGCCCAGCTACTAATTAACATTAAGAATCCATTTTTGTTATAAATTTTGAAGACTCTGGACTTGTGTGGGAAGCCATAGTTCAGAACAATGTGGCCATTCATTATTTTAGAATTATTTGAGGAATTTATCAGAAAACCAAACCAAAAGAATCTATTGTCGGTAGTTAAATTACAGAATTTGGGAGAAAGGAGGCTGCTGAACAACACAAGCAGTTATTACAAAGATGCAATTAAATTATAAGCTGTCTGTGAGTCAGGGTGTCAAAATTGCCACATGGAGCTAAGGGAGCTGGGAATAGCAGAATGCCTAAATGGGGATTCTTGATTAATTTGTTCATTTTTGCTATGGATACATAGTGAAAATCACTAAAACGGACCATCCCAGCCCATCTCACATTATGCATCAAATGAATATTTCAATGTACAGAATGAAAGAATAACCCCACTAGTTATGGTGATATCTTATAAGTAGATGACAATTTCCGATTGAATATACATAAACAAAACAAAAAATCCATGTTTACAGTGTACTATTAAATCCTATAACATATTTTTAATAAAAACAAATAGAAGTTGTTCCTTAGGAAATGTCATTAAACAATGAAATGTACCTCTATATCTGATATTGTAAAGTCATGTAGGAGTTTGGATGTAAAGCATGATGAGGTGAACCTACACTGTAGAATTAAATTGCCATGGCTCATAGTTATGGGATTATGGAAGTTGTAGTTTAAAAACATCTTTAGTCTTTTCTACCCAAGAGTGCTGGTTCCTCATCCAACAACAGATTACAGGCTTCCATTGCATTAAGCCGTACTAGTTAAAGTGGCATCAAAATGCACTACTGCTACAGTGCAGCTGCATCCTGGATGTGTGACTGGAGGGGGAATTTTGGTTAAACAGTAGCAGAGTCTCTCGCTTCCAATGCCATATGATGGACCTGGACCTATTTATTGCCAGTGGTGCTCATGGCAGACTAGCCCATCCAACCACCTAATCTTTCTATTCTAATATTTGCTAAGCCAGTACAAAAGCGAGCTAGATGGAGTGTATGATTAAATATGTCAGCTCAGTGGTCGTAAAAGTATTATGCTATACTAATGTTGTAGAAACAATGACTTATCAACACAAGCAGGAATACTAGAATGTCAGATAAGCCACAAAAGGCCTTGACCAGAACAAAAGAACACACGGGCCTTTTCTCTTGAGTAAAAATGTTTAGCTTTCTAGTTTCCTGGCCACAGTCTTAATAGATAGTAGTAATAGATATTACATTCTTATGTTAGATTTTTAATACATAAGGTACAACAAGAATATTGCACCACACTTGGAGGCTCTCAGATAATATCATGGCAGGAATTCATAGTTGGGGGTCTTGTTGTTATTGAGCCATGCCCCCCACCCAACCAAAAGATTGTAAACAATAAGACTCCTAGCAGGGAGTATTTTTGTTTTCTTTATTTTAAAAACATTTTCTGCTCTTCTAAAGTTCTACAATGTCGAAGCTGCTGCAGGTTCCAGCAGGACCCAGCAGCAATTGTACCCTGAACTCTATCAAAGTTAAACTCTTTAATAAATGTACAAAATTGATACCTTTTGTGTAACTTGTGTTGCTTTTGTGGTGTATCAATTTCTAAATGTATAAACTTGTATCAAATGTATCCTGAAGGCACCTGCTGTCCCTGTGCCCCCTGTTTGCATAAGCTCCTGGGAACTGAGACGGCTATTAACAAAGGTCTTTTTAGCGATCTCTGAAGCCAGATAAAATCAAAGCCTTTGTGTATGTGTGTTTGTGAGACAGATGATCCTTTTTGTCAACTAGATGAGCCTAAGATATTTTCCTGTTTAATCAGGAACTGGAGGCTTATCATTCCTATGAAAGAGAAGACTAAACAAATAATAATAATTAGTCTTCTGAATAGACAGCCAAACCCTGGTTATTTGGGGTTGTCACCCTTTGTCTTTTGAATCTTCAGCTTTGTCTTCATGGAACTAGTCATTTAGGCTAATCAAAGAATCACCTGCATATCCACATCATCAGTTTCCCCAATTTTGTGCCCTCCCAGGTGGTGTCTCTGCAATTGACTGGATCTTCAAACTAACCAATCATCAGCTGTTCTTCTTCCCACCACAGGGATCTCCTCCTTCTGTCTGTGACATCAAGAGAAACTTCTGACTAATCCCTGTGTGAATCCTAGCCGGCATGGTGGTTTCTTGGCCAGTATGGGGGAGGCATGGGAAACCTGAATAGCTGTGAGAACTGCATAAAATGTCTTGTGTTTTTCTGTGATATCATGCTTGTACATTTTGAAGCACTTTGCTGTTACGTGCATCCCTTTTTGCCAAACAGAATAAGCCTCTGTAGCTTTGTTTTCAAGCCAGAGTGCTTGTTCTCTGTCCTGGCTGATCCAGTTTAGCGGAAGCACACTGGGCACGGACCTCTTTATCTGTGGTCCTAGCTGAAATCACTACATTCTTATGCTGTTGTGTATTTGTCTTTATGACAAATTCAGACCTGTAGATTTCATTTTTGCTAATAAAATTTCAGTTGATGTCACTGTGATCAAATACAACTCAGTGGGCCTGATTCTCTTCTTTTCATGGAATGTGCCCTTTCAGCTCAACTTCTGGGAAGACAGGGCTGTATAACTTGGGATTTGGATGGAGTAGATAAAGCCATGAATTTTCAGAGTGCAAAACAACAACAACAACAACAAACCTCAATGTATATGTTATATGCTTGATTTTCCAGACATTATTTCCTTTCAGTTGTCTCTTGGTAACATCAAACCTTCACAATAGTAAATTTATTGTGGGACAAAATATCTACAAGATGCCGTTCTTAAACTAAGTCTCCCTCATCTTTGCTATGCTTGTGTACACATAAGCATGCAGTATATGTGTTACACAGCCCTAAACGGTTCTGGCCCAACTTATCTATCCGAACGTATCTCAGCCTATCAGCCCGCCAGGACCCTAAGATCTTCTGGAGAGTCCCTTCTCTCTATCCCTCCAGCTTCAGAAGTGCGGCTGGCGGGAACGAGAGACAGGGCCTTCTCTGTGGTGGCTCCCCGGCTTTGGAACACCCTCCCTATAGAGGTACGATCATCCTCTTCACTGATGGTATTTAGGAAGAGACTGAAAACATGGCTGTTTAAACAAGCATTCGGCTAATCTGTGGCAATTTGAACTCTGGTGATTAAGGACAGGAAAATATGGACAACGAACTCTGGATTGTGATTTTAACTCGAGATATATGGGATGATTATTGGTGGCCCAATAATTTGCATTGTATGTGTATATGTTTTTAAATTGGAGATTGTTT